CTAACTGGAATCATTTGGTCATTGTAAGGCATTTTTATGATAGAAACAAAGCAAAATAAAAGACGTGTGTGCCTTTAAAGGGTAGAAGATGAGGCAGTGCGATGCTTTGCTCTGAAACTGGTACAGACAATGCCATAAATGAGGCTGTAATTTACTTGCCACTGGTAACGGAGGGAAAAAAAAAAGTCGCTTTGCCTAAAGTGTATGCATCTTTCTTAAGGGTGTACCCAGATTTTAATTATCTAAATGTAAATACTTAACGAATTTTACTTAGAGTAATGAGCTAAAGTGCACACTACATAAATGAGATGTTCTAATTAATCATGTATGAACTACTGGCTTACAGAAAAGCCATGTGAATTCTGTGAATGCTGGGCTATTGCCAAATTGCTAATCGGCCTTTGCATTCAAGGATGGCTTCACTTAATAAGTCGTGAGATGTTCAGCAAATGTTTTAGGAAATTATGAATTTTTAGATGCAGAAACTTTTTTGCTTTCATTTTTTTTTTCTCCTTTGAGACTTGGGCTGCTTCTTAGAAATCATAGACAAATACTCATGCTAGAGAGATGAAAAGTCCAGCCAGGAAAACATGAATAGTGCTAGCATCACAGCAATCATTCATTTAGGAATCTTTAATTACTTACCGAAATGTATAGCCCTGTCTCAAATATGTTACTATCATGTATGTGTTAGTTTGGAGGAATTAGAAAAGTTGTCTGCACAAATTATAAGTGCTTCTATGCTCATACAGCAGTTTTCAAATAAACACTGAAAAATTACTGGGGACCCCTCTAGGAGTTTTTGGGGAAGGAGACTTGGGAGCTATGTAAGTCAATATTTATTATAATACAGTTTAAAATTGTGAAATTTCAGAGCATTAGTTTAAGAATATCTGTCAGTTGTTATATGTCAACCCAGAAACCTGTACAATTCTGTATTTTCTTTTTTAGAAACCCTCAAAATTTAGTAAGAAAGGCATTGCTTTTATTTATTTTATTTCTAAAGATCCGTTTATTTTTATTTGAAAGGTAGATTTTACAGAGAGAAGGAGAGATAGAGAGAAGCTCTTCCATCCAGTGGTTCACTTCCCAAACGGCCTCAGTGGCCAGAACTGAGTTGATCAAAAGCTGGGAGCCAAGACTTACTTCTGATGCAGATGGAAGGTTCCTAAGGACTTGGGCCCCTTGGACCATCCTCCGCTGCTCTCCCAGACATATTAGCAAGGAGCTGGATCAGAAGTGAAACAGCCAGGTACCCGAACTGATGCCAGTGCCACAGAGGGAGGATTAACATGCTGTACCATGGCACTGACCCTCATTTTACAAAATTGTTTGGTGTTCTACTTGAAGTTGATTTTCATTTTCATATCAGCTTCTGCAGTGGGTCTGTGGTTGAAGTGCATGAAAAACATCTGAAAAACAATGGCCTAGTGACCTTTTCAGATAATTATAAGTCTTTCTTTTGTTTGATGCCACACCAAAATGTGACAATTGTAGTTGTTGTGTCACGATTAGTTGCAATATGAAATTTGAAACCATATCCATTACATTTTGGTAATCTGTTCCTTTAAAATCCACTGGTCTAATTTATACTTTCTATGCATTTTTTTGCAATATACATTGATGATTTCAGAATTATTGGTTCACTGAATTGTGCATATTTTCCCAATGTTGACACATTTCATTATACAATATCAAAGTAAATTTTATTAATATTACCACTGTCAATCAGAAAGTCTATAGGGAGACTGTCAAACCCATGGTGCTAGTTGCAGATTTCCCAAAATTCTGATTTTTTTTTTCACTTGAAAACTCATATTTTATTATTGGCATAAATTTTCAGCTTTGATTTTGATATGACAAGCTCACAGGTTTATTTTTGAGACAAGGCCTGCCAAATACCCAACTTCAAATAGTCATAATTTATCAATGTTGTAAAATGGTTTTTCCTTGAGAGTGACTTAATACAGAGGAAACAACCATTGCAGTGCATTTTTCTCAAGGCAGGCATCCTTCAGAGTGCAATGGAAATGCTTTCTGTGCACCCTCTCATTCGGCTCCCCACAGAAAATAAGACAAACGTGATGATTAAGAGAAAATAAGTTAAATAATTTCTGTTGTTTCCTTAGGACATTGTTGGTTACTATTGTGTGCTTGTGTGAGTGTCTCGTGGTAAAAAACTGAATAAAAGCAAAAATTGCCTAGCATGGCATTTCCCAGAGTCCTTCCAGCACATTGGACCACAAGATGCTCTCAGCTGTGCTACCAGCCACTGATGGCGAGTGAGCACTTCAAGTCTAGCTGGTCTGAACTAAGTAAGGTGTGCTACTAACGTAAAATACACACTGAATTTCAAGAATAGAAACATCGAGCAACGTGAAATACTAAGTTGAAGTTTTAAAAATACGTATTGAAAAAATAGTATTTTCACATTGGATTAAAAAAATGTGTTGAAATTAATTTCACCAAATTCTTATTATTTAAAAAATTTTTTTCTAAGTGGCTCAAAGTAAGTTTTTTTCTGGAGGCACTGACCTAAAGAAAAGAGGCTTTATGACTGAATGTATTGGGGGGGAATTGGATACACTACTTCTCCTTGATAATTTATATTGCAGTTTAACATAGAAATACTGAGGAATGATGCAAAAAAAAAAATTAAGTTTTTGGTTCACTAGTCAGCCTTCAGACATCCCGTGTCTTTGGACCCAGGAGCTAGGGTAGTCATCAAGCGGCCTCTTGCAGAGCCAGCATCCCCCTTCAAGGCCTGAAGCTCCACTTGCAGGCCAGTTCCTAGTGTGTATGCCTGGTGGCAGCAGAAGTTGGCTCATTCCTTGGGCCTTTGCACCCCACGTGGGAGACCTGAATGGAGTTCCAGGCTGCTGGCTTTAGCATAGCCTGAGCCGGTGGCCAGTGCGGGAGTGAACCAGTGAATGGAAGATCTCAGTCTCTCCCTCTCTGTCAGTTTGACTAAACTTATGGATGTAGCTTTAAAATACAGAATTTGCAAATCCTAGTTTGGAAGGCAAGTGTAGTTCAATTTTCTTCATTTTACTGTTGAGGAAATTAAAAGCTAGAGTTTGTCAAACTTTATATAGTTTGAACTTTAGAAATTTTATAAACATTTCCTCGGAGAAAGTTAGATAAAAATATATACATGCATTTCTTGGCAGAGTGACCACTGTTTTTTAGCTTTTCCTAAGATTTTTTAAGTTGATAGTATAGCGGGGAAAGATCTTGAATTTGCTTAAAACTTTATTATTTTTTTTTAATTAAAGATGGAAGGACTAGTTTTAGTCTACAAAACGCCTCAATGTTTTACTGTACCACAACTTTTTCTTCTTATTATTAGTATAGTTATAGATTATCTGGATATCTGAAAACAAGGAAAATCCCACAGATTCTCCCCCAGGGAGTACCCATGTTCACACAACTTGTATAGGATTTTAAAAGTCACAATCTGTCGTACCCTGTCCGCGAACTTGCAGTTTGTGGATATTAATCATAAAGTGTAATGTAAACCTGTCTGTGTTTATTGGGTGCTCATCGCCCTGAGGAATCCCCCAGAGGATGTGATGTCAAATCACTAGTCACAAGGGATTTAGCATTTCTGAAGACTTAAAACCACTTTTGTTTTGTTTTGCTTTTAAAGACACTGTAATGGTAAATAAGACTAACTTTTCCTCACCTTAGAAACATCTCTAGAAAAGGTTAGGGTACAAGTAGCACCCGATGTACTTGAAAGCCAGTTCCTGAGTGAGCAGCTAGAAAAGCGTCAGGTGCTGCGTGTGAACCATGGCAGGGTATCTGCAGGAGAAAGGGTGTTGTAGTTTCAAGATGTGCTTGCCTTGATCAGTGATTGTTCTGTCTGGTTGCCCTACCAGGGCCTGAATACAGCAACATGCAGACTCTCTCCTCCTGCCTTTTTAACAAAAAATGCAGAAAATGCCCTTTTTCTTCAGGAATATACACTGGTGCTTTGTTTACTAAGATAGTAGTGGATTTCCGTGGAGACCAGGTTATGTCATTTCATAGACTAGAAGACTGTAAGTGAACTTAAAGGGACAGTGTCTGAGATTGTCTGCCAGAAGATTTGGGACCTGGATCTGATCCCTGTTTTCCTGAGGCCTGTCCCCTAAGGAGCTGAGCTTTTCACGGGGGGCATGTGTCCACCAGGGGCCTGCACCATAGCTACTGGACACTGAGCCGTCGGAAAGCTGTGTGTATAAGGCCCGTGATGTGCTAATCCACATCCAAGTCCTGAATTCTAGTTTTCCTGTTAGCCATTCTCCAGACTTGCTACTTACTGTTTCTAGAAGCTAAATTTTCTTTTGACTCCCGTCTTCATGTGCCTTGTTAAAGTCCTACCCTTCTTTTAAAGCTCAGATAGCAATTTTACCATGAATCCTAGAATGAGACTACCCTCTCCTTGGGATTTACAAGGTACTTATGAATAGCTTCCTGGTAGCCTTTGCACCGACTGCTTTGTGAAGAATAGTTTTTACGCATTTTTATTTCACTAAAGGCCAGGTCTACACTCTGCTCATTTCTGTACCCTTCCAGCACTTGGAAGAGTTTAAACTACTTAGTCCTGCAATAAACATTTGGTGAAAAATGTAAAACCAACAGAGAACATAGCAGATACTTAGTATTAACACTTAGCATACATTAATACCTCTATATAGGATCTATATGGGAGTGTGGGAGTGGTAGGCAGCATCCTCCATTGGGAAAACCTTTTTTTTTTTTTGGACCTGGGCCAAGGGTGGGCGGGAAGGGAATTTGAATGCTGTGTCTCCCTTGCATGTCTGACCAATCATGGTTTCAGTGTGGGTGCCCCACCTAATTCACCACTATTTTGCAAATGTCCTTCATTTTGCCCTTCCCACTACATATGCCATTGGTCATTGCAAATGAGGTGGAAATTCAGATGAGTTTATGTCTGAGTGTGATAATATAAGGTACCAGATTGCTAAGAAGTGATTTTTTTCCCCCTGTTACAGGCGTGCAATGAATTCACCACACATGTGATGAACCTTCTCCGAGAACAGAGTAGAACGCGTCCCATTTCCCCAAAAGAGATTGAAAGAATGGTGGGCATCATCCATCGAAAATTTAGTTCTATTCAGATGCAGCTCAAACAGAGCACTTGTGAAGCAGTTATGATTTTAAGGTCAAGGTTCCTTGATGCCAGGTATGTGAGGCCATACACCTGACCCTTGGCTCCCCCTCACCTTTGGCTCGCCTCCTTCACTGCTTTTGTACTGTTTTCTGTAAAACTGTCGGTGGATCTTCAGTGCTTCTTTAATCCAGCTGTAAGAACTCTTCCCTACAGAGGACAGGTAATCCAGCGTGCGCTGCCTCTGCTGTCAAGCTTCCTCATGTCGGGGAGTGGTCGTGCAGTGAACTGCCAGCTTAGTGTCTCTAGAAGGGACAGAGTGAGCAGCACTGCCTCAGAGATGCATAGTCCCTCAGCAATGCTGCCAAATGGAATTTTTATGGGTGATATTCTGCATACAATTCTATTTTAACTAAGGTGTTTGTCTAAGAATTCTTTAAAGTTATGTTGCCTATGCCCATTATGAGAAAATACTCCTAATCAAGTGAGAGCCTCTTGGTTTTTCCTGTGAGGATGGAAATGTCCTTTTTTTTTTTTAATTTGAAGCGTTCACCAAGTTTCATAGCAGCTGGAGAATGTGTTGCCTGTGGTGACCTACTGAGTGTCAGCGGGATTGGCCAGATCTGCGTACATTCTGCCTCAGTAGGGCTGCCTCTTGGATGTTGTTACAGCTTATAATCAGTCTTCAGCTTCATGAAGAAGTTTCTATTTTGTTTTTCTTCTTGCCCTTTGGAATCTGACAGAGGTGATAATTATCATCCAAATCTCACTGTATTAAAGAAAATACCCAAGATAGCTTTCTTTTGGAAAATGAAGTGTGTGGAGCAGTCTGCATTCCAGAACTGCTTTGTAGAGCTAAGGGCAAGCTTTGGTGTAGCCATTAATACGCTACATCCCATGTCAGAGTGCCTGGTTCAAGTCCAGCTACTCCGCTTCCAATTCAACGTGCTGCTGTTGCATCCTGACAGGCAGCAAGTAATGGTTCAAGTGCTTGGGTCTCTGCCAGCCACGCCAAACACCCAACTGGAGTTCCGGGCTCCAGTCCGTAGCCCATGACTGTAGCCTGGGGACGACCCATTTGTTTGTGGGCCTCTGGGGAGTGAGCCAGTGGAGGAAGAACTCTGAGTCATTTTACCCCCTAGTTACGCTACCTTTTTCCTGTCACTTTCAGTTCCTCCCTCTTCTACATTAGGTGGTTAGGATCCCCCAGTGCTTGGTTTTCAGTGTTTTTGTGTTAGCTTCTTTTCTATTTTCCTTGTAGCATTCCTGTTCATCCTTCTGTTTCTGGACTCTTTGCAGTGCACACACACCAAGCTGCCCCACCCTGCCATCTTACTCCCCTCCTACCCACGCTCTGCTTCTCAGCTGCCACGGTGTGGCTGCTTTTCACAAAGTATGTCTTAATGTTAAAGCAGTTTAATGTCTGCAGACTTTCAAAGGGGCATATAATTAATAATTAATATACCATCATCTTACCCTAGTGCTGTTTTCACTAATCTCCATTGTAACTTGTTTGGCTGAAGATACAGTGATAAACAAGACAGGTTAGGACTAAGCCCTAAGGTCTAACCTCAGGAACAGGGTTACATCGAATTTTAAGCATTTGTAGTGTGCTTGCAACACTCAACTATTCTTTCCTGTCTTTCATTTAAAATGAGATTTTCCTCAGCCTTACCATTTCATTGACTTAGAAATTCCCTTTTTTTCTTCTCTCTCACTCTTCCTCTTCTCTGCCTTCCACAGTGAAATCTCTCCCAAGATGGTCACCAGCAATGGGTTGTTGCCCAAGAGTGTGTCCAGGACAGTCAGCACTCAGAGTTGTGCATCTGGGGAGGGTACGCACAGCCTCGCAGGCAGAGCCCAAGTGCCCGCCCTCTGAAGGTGCGCTCTAGTCTCCGCCTGGACTTCCTGCGAGCTGCCTGCACTGTGGGTGCACAGTTCTCCGGGCCACACCCCAAGACTCCCTGTGCCTCAGGAATCCACAACGCCATGCCCAGACTTACACGCGTACCTTCCCCACAGAGCTAGCATCCTTACGCAATAACAAGCCACAAAACAAAACTCGTTGACTGATCACAGTGAATAAAGACTTCCGCTTTATATTTCTAACATCAGAGACCAAAAATCATTTTAAATCATTTGCCAAGTTTGAGCATCCTGTAACAAAGGCTGAAGTTGCTGTGGATTCTCTTCCATTCTTGCTGGCATGCAGTGCTTGCTTGTTACTAATTGTATTCCTAATGTGTGTACCCAAATGGTACATTTTCCTTCCAGGCAGAGAAAGGGTGCCAAGAGCCTAGAGTGAGCAGAGTCAGAGTGAGAGAGTGGCAGATTACGGAGCAGGGGAGCCACTCTCCCCTCAGAGCAGGCCTGGGAGAGCAGGCTCTGGACACTGACCCCAGGCATAGCCATGGAGAGTGAGGTGAACCCTGGAGGGGAGATGGTTAATGGGCATTTTCTACAAGATGTTTTCCTGAAAAATAAATAATGTATGCAAGACCAAGCCTCTCTTTTACCTCCAAGTGAACGCAAGTGCCGAGCTTTGACTCCATGTGGCCTTGTGGCCTGGTGGCAAGTCCCGGGCATGAGGAAGGCCAGGCTGCCCTGCTCTAGGCAAACAGGCTTTCTCAGACATTGTCCCCGAAGGCCACACTCACCTTTTCTTGGTAATTGGACAAGCTGAAGCACGTTATCAGACCAAAACTTTTCAGAATAAACTTGAGTAGGTCCCCCTTCTTGTCTGGGAGAAGTGCTGGAGTTGAGATGTGGCAGAATGGCTCATGAGTGTTGTTCTGCCCATAAATGTGTTGTCTGACTGGTTCTGATATTTGCCAGAAACCTCCCTTAGGCAAAATCTACAGGAGCTGAACTTCTGTCCTTAGGTATGTTTCTTCTCATCCCCCTTTCACAAGTCCCTATTTCCTGACGAAATGTCCTGTCTTCTCACTGCCCTGAACTGTCCCCACTTCAGACTGAGTCCCAGACCCCCATGCTTCTGTGTAGTGGAGTTGAGAGACTGGATTGGGGCAAGGGGAGGGTTAGGGCAGCCGTGGGCATAGCTTACAAGCTCACCATCACTCAGCTTTAGCCTGTGGCTGCTTCCCCAGGAGGTGGACCTGGTGTGATTGGTCCTCAAAGGTTTTCTAAGAAGCCAGAAACCTGGATTTTTGTGAGCAAGTAATTACTATATGTTTCTAACAAATTATGTCCTTGGACCAAGTGATGCCTAGATATGCCACGTAGTATCTGTTCTAGACATTTTCCACCTAACTTCACCTAGAAGAGCAAGGCTGTTCAAAGTCCCCTCCCAGGGTTGTGTCTTGCAAGGCACGATTCCTGTAGAAATGCTTACTACCATTCTATTTCTCCATCCATTTCATCACCTTCCCCATCCATTTCATCATCAGATCCTGTTGACCTCAACCAACAAGTAGGTCTGGAATCTCATTTTCATCTTCCATGAAGCACTGATTAAACTGTCCAAGAAATTATTGAAACGAAGAAATTTCAGAACTGAATCCCAAGATACTTTTTCAGATCCAGCTTTCTTGTTCCCCTCAACTCTCCTTGAACTGACACACAGATCATGTACTGAACTTGCGGTTTTAGTTACAGCACTTTAGCTAGAAGAATCTCTTAGGATCTATTCCTTTACAGCTTCTACCAACGGTCTTTTCTGGGTGAAGGTTATCACAGCTGAAAGCATCGTTAAGGTTATTTGGAAAATATCTGGGGAAGACATTTGCCAGTTACCAGAGTAGCTGATTTGACGTTGGTCTGACAAATGTTAATTTTTAGACTGGAATTCTTTAAAATCTGAATACCCAAATATATGGGATGTGTTGTTGATAATGTTTAATCTGACACTCTGTCATCACTATCTGATCCAAAACGAAATTTTTTTTCGTCCTCTGGTTCAGGTAGTTACTTAGGCAGAAAAATCCAGAAATCCTTCTTGATATATTTTTTTCCTTTCCTTCATTCTCTGTATACCTCATCCGCTCCCTTATGCAATCCCTCTTCAGGTCTGTTGGATTTTTGTGAGCAAGAGTTTTATCGTTCAAATAGATCTCAAATCTTATTTCTATTGCTCTTGCCCGCATTTCTATCATCTTCAATCTGACCCGTACAGTTATTACCTTAAACAGCCTATGCATTTCCTTTCATGGCCTCCTTCAATTATTCTCAACAGTCAGAACTTTCTTTTATTTTTTTTTTTAAGATTTATTTATTTCTATTGGGAAGACTGATATACAGAGAGGAGGAGAGACAGAGAGGAAGATCTTCCCTCCGATGGGTCACTCCCCAAATGAGGCTAATGGCTGGAGCTGAACCAATCTGAAGCCAGGAGCCAGGAGCTTCTTCCAGGTCTCCCATGTGGGTGCAGGGTCCCAAGGCTTTGGGCCGTCCTCGACTGCTTTCCCAGGCCACAAGCAGGGAGCTGGATGGGAAGTGGAGCAGCCAGGATTAGAACTGGCGCCCATCTGGAATCCCGGTGTATTCAAGGCAAGGACCTTAACCATTATGCTATTGCACCGGGCCCCAGAACTTTCTTTTAATAGCATGAAGTATGGGGCCAGACAGTGCTGGCATAGCATGTACTGCTGCTGTCAGCAAATGATACCTCATATGGGTGCCTGTTCGAACCCCAGCTACATTGTTTCTGATCATATCCCAGCTTTAAAAGGAAAAAAAAAAAAAAGGTGGAGATAGCAGCAGAAGGTGGCCCGAGCCCCTTGGGTGCCTGCCAAGGTGCTCCTGACTCATGACTTTGCATTTGCCCAGCTTCAGCTGTTGTGACTGTTGAAGGAGTAAACCATCAGATAGAAGCTCTCTCTCTGTCTCTACCTTTCTTTCCCGATGAATTATGCCTTTCAAGTAAATAAATAAAACTTTATTTTTTTTTTAAGAAATCAGACATAAAACCATTGTTTACATCCTATTCAAATAGAATAAAATTTGAAAATTCTGTGTGGGATCCATCAGCCCTCTGTAGTCTGGCCCTGCCCCTCCTTCTAGACCCATCTGCCCTGTTTTCTGTGGCACTTGTGGCCTGAGCGTTCTGCTTCAGAACCATTTCTTCTGCCCTTGCCTCTTCCCCCGTACTCCCAACTCCCCACAATCCCCCAGTTTGTACACTGCCAATGTACTTCATACTGTTTGTTCACGATTGTTGCTATGATCGCTCTAATTTCTGCTGACTTGTGTCTGTGATGCCTGTCTATCTTTCTTCTTCATTTTTCTGTTCTATCTTCCAGCCCTCCTAGTCTCTGTAAGCTCTGTGGGAAGCTTGGTCTTGTTGGCCACTGGCTCATTGTTAAATACCTAGAACTTGTTTAGGGCCTTAATAAATATTCTGGAACAAAGAATGAAATTAATTGTGCTTCACATTCTACTACTATTTTTCTTGTTGAGCTTATGTCTTAAAATGAGTCAAATGGCATTTTGGAAGTTGCAGAGAGCATGATTTATAGTGGTAATACAAACATTTGAAAACAGAAATCTAGTTTTTTGTGACTCTTAATACCCCTCTGGTTGGTGACGATTGTAACCACGATTCTGTTTTTCTTGTCATAGACGGAAAAGGCGTAACTTCAGTAAACAGGCCACGGAAATCTTGAATGAATATTTTTACTCACACCTCAGCAATCCCTACCCCAGCGAAGAAGCCAAAGAGGAGCTGGCCAAGAAATGCAGCATCACAGTGTCACAGGTGAGACAGGGCTCCGGGAGGCCCCTCTTGTTCCCCAGGGGTATGGGAGCCCCATTCTTTCCTCAGGAAGTCCTCATCAAATTTTGTGTACAAATGTTCCATCATTGAAGAAGATAGAAAGAAAACCTAGATAGAAGTGAAAGTTAACTTTAAAAGAAATAGTAAGTAGCAAGGAATCAAGTTAGGCACCTTCCCCAGCTCCCAGTGTAAACCCTCTGCGGAGAAGACGTAAACGTGCCATCGGGAGAGACACGGCTCACACTTCTTAAGTAACTTTCTAGTAAAAGCCATGTAGTCCTGGCTTCCCTGATTTAGATGACTGACCTGCATGTCTACCAGGGAGAAACCAATTTATTTGTTGCCTAAAGGAAATTTAATATAACTCTTTGGCGAGAGCTTTGAGGAATTCACCAAGCCCCTTCTCGGTAACTGTGCTGTGATATTTAAGTCCCAGGGCGGTTCTTTCCATCCTTGTTATCCATGAAACAGGAGACTTAACCTTGTGCAGCTCAGAGTTGGCTTTTTGTTTGTTTTGTTTTGTTCTTAATATCATTCAGAGACTTTTTTTTTTTTGGCCCTGAAATTAGCTGTTATGTCCTAACAATTGATGTACTTTTAGTTAAATATGGTGTATATTTGGATTGAAGTTTGGACACTGAAGGAATTTACCTATGACTCCTTAAAAATAGGTACAGTCACTCTTCTGTATCCATGGATTCTACGTCTACTGATTTAACCAACTGCAGATTTAAAAACAAAAACGTATGCTGGACATATACAGGTCTTTTCTTTGACATTATTCCTTAAACAATGCAGCATAACTAGTTATTTACATGGCATTTTCATTGTTTTAAATAGTGTAAGTAAGCCAGATTTGAAGTCTGTGGAAGAACGAATGTGCAGTATGTGTGAGCATTGTGCAGTCATATGAAAGACGTGCGCCTCCGGACATTCTCATACCCTTGGCAGTCCTAGAGCCAGTCCCGCAGGGGTATTTAGGGACAACTGTATGTATTAATAGCATTGCCTCTAAAATACAACTTTATTTACATACTCATGTTTTTGTTTATACATTGACATTTGACAACATTGTTCACAGGCAACAAAGTAACAGTTTGCAACCCGTTTTTCCGGTGGGATATTAGAAAAAGCTGGTCCTTGGCAGAAAACCAGTGTTTTGGTGCTGTTTACCGCAGAATGTCTAGAGCCACTTTGAGTTATACTTTGGATTCCGGTAAGGCTCGTTGGCATTCTGTTAGGAACCAGCAGAGTGCCTTGGCTCCTTTTGCCCATTTGAAGCAGAATATAGTCGGTGTGCATTACTAGCTTAGAATGTTAGAAAGCATGACAATCTGGATTATACAATCCCAACTGCTACTCAGATTATTATAAAGTGATAATCTTACACTGGGCCAGACAAGGAAGAGCAAATGAAACGTGTACCCATATCAAGTGGGCTTTCCAACTGTGCATTCCTAAACTTTGGTGAAAGGGAAGCTGGGTGATGAAGCCACGTCAGGTTTTCTGACTCCTGTTACTTCGATTGGAGAATCCAGATGTTGGTGGCGTCCACACAGATGTCTTCCCGCTTCCAGTCTGCGTTTTACACGCACACGTACTTATGGACATTATTGGAGAATAACACGAATTTTATGTATATATCTTTCATCAACAATGTAACCTGCATTTTCTGGATTTATTTATTTTTATTGCAAAGACAGATTTACAGAGAGAAAGATCTTCCACATGCTGATTCACTACCCAAATGTCCCAACAGCTGAGCTGATCAGGAGCCGGGAGTTTCTTTCGGGTCTCCCACATGGGTGCAGGGTCCCAAGGCTTTGGGCCATACTCAACTGCTTTCCCAGGCCACAAGCAGGGATCTGGATGGGAAGTGGAGCTGCCAGGACATGAACTGGCCCCCATATGCCAGCACTTTTAGGCGGATTTTTATCCTGATACCATTTTGTTGCAGATGGTAGAATTTGATTCTTTCTAATGGCCATGTTGATTTATTCTTTACAAAATTAAAAACCAGATTTATTTGAAGTAGGTTCTATGGCAACATTCCACATCAGTGCTAATTTGAGTCCCAGCTGCTGAACTTCTGAACCAGCTCCATGAAAATATGCCTGGAAAGGCAGTGGAGGATGGCCCAAGTACCTGGGCCTCTGCACCCATATGGGAGACTTGGGTGAACCTCTTGGCTCCTGACTTTGACATGGACCAGTGCTGGCTGTTGCAGCCATTTGAGGACTAAACCAACAGATGGAAGATCTTTCTCTACATATATCCCTCTTTCTGTGTACTCTGTTTTTCAAACAAATAAATGTTTTTAACGATTATTTGAAAGGCCAAAGCCTAGCCAAATCCAAAAGCCAGTAATTCTAGCTGGGTCTTCCAAGTGTGTGGAAGGGACCCACGTACTCAGGCCATCTTCTACTGCTTTGCAAGTACCTTAGCAGGGAGCTGGGTCAGAAGTGAATCACTGAGACCTGAACTAGTACTCTGATGTTCCTGTGTTGCAGGTGCAGTTTAGCTTGCTGTGCCACATGCCAGCTCAGAAACCTTCTGAAGAAATTATACAGATTTCTTTTCAGTACTTAGAGTGATAGATAAAATTTCTTAAACAGGACATAAAATGTATAAGCAGCGAATGAAATGGCCAATAAATCAATGGTAGAACTTTTGTTTATCAAAGTAATTAATATACAAACTGTGAAAATGTCAACATAGCATAGCCGTTTCAGTGAAGATTGAAGCATACAAGAATCATTAATAGATTAAATCTAGAGGGAAATGTTGATGCAGAACATGGTGTTAAAATGTCTTTCCATAGACCCTTTATTAGTTATAAGGGATTGCAAATAAAATAATTATAGAGTGGCAAAATGGAACAAAATCATGACTACATGATCAAAATTAACATCACCAGGCTGAAGATATAAGCTGACCCTTGACTGGGTCTGGCATTATCACATGCTGGATGCTGTGGGGGGGCAGAAACAACATCAGTGAACTTAGCAGGCAAATCCCATGCCCCACCTGACAGAGATACACTCACAGTAACCAGAACTAGCCGTGTCTGTACGGAAAACGCCTAACTTCCTTCACTAATAAATGGTTCCATTTGTAAGAATGTGAGAAACATGTCAAATTAACCATCAGTGTTGGAAGTCAAGCCAGTGGATCCTTTGAGGGAATAGTGGTGTGGAAGGGAAGGAAAATTTCTTGACGTCAGGAGGTGAGTTGGTGGGCGTGCTGTCCATGAAGGCCTGCACTTAATGGTGTCTGCCCCTTGATGTTTATGCATTAAAAATGTGTAATGTTTTGAACTCTACAGACTTGTCCTTGTAGAGCTTACATTTCTGCAGGGAACTCCAAATAGATAAAACAAGTCAATGAGATAAGAAGTTACAAAATGAGGCATGCAGATAAGAAGCTAAAAAGTGAGGGAAAAAGAAGAGGAGCTTGGAAAATGCCATTTTTAAGAAGGTAGTAAAGAAAGTTCCTCCAGGGAAAGCAACTTTTATAATGATTGAAGAAGATAAATGTACAAGCCTTGTGTAAGTTCAGACCTTCCAGCCAGAGGACACACCAAGTGCAGCGGCACTGTGGTGACAAGTGGGAGAGATGAAATTTTAGGGGCTGTGCAGCCCACCTGATGGGGGCGGGGTGCTTCCCGCTTTACTGAGTGAAATGGGAAACTGAGGAGTGACTGATCTGGCTGAAGTTTTGTTTTCCCTGAAAGGTAAAGGAAGAGACAGAGAGAGATCTCCCCAAATGCCAGCAACAAGTGGGGCTGGGTCAGGTCAGAGGCAGGAGCTGGGGACCCCATGTGGGTTTGCCTTGTGCTAGAAGGAAACCAACTGCTCAGTCCATCCCACTGCTTGCCGTGGTGCACGGCAGCAGGAAGCAGGCATGGGCAGCCCAGCTGGGCCTTGGAGCCTGGCACTCTGGTGGGAAGCAGGCATCCCAAGCAGCTTCTAACCACTGTGTTAAACACCCACGCCTGACGTAAGATGTAGTAGGGTTACCACAGCGGCCAGGCGGACGGATCTGGGTTGGCAGTGGCACTTGTGGGCGCAGAGACATCAGTTAGGAGGCACTGGCCGTAATCCAGACAGAGGTGGTCCCGATGTAGATCAGGGTCTGAGTGGTAGAGTTAATGAGACGAGGCTGGGTTCTGGATGTGTCCTCACACGTAGCCTAGAGAGTTTTCTAGTGGTTTAGGTGTAGGACATGCTATAACGAGAGTTGAGGATGATGCCAGCATTTTTGGCCTGAGCCGTGGAGGGATAGGATTGTCGTTACGTGTCATGGGAAGGTTGGAAGGAGCAGGATTTTGGGGAGAAGATCAGGAGTGTGGTGTTACACGTAAGTACTGCATTTTTCAAGTTCACCGTGTACTATAAATAAACATGGATAAGTTAAAAAAATATTTTCTATACTAGTCTTACCTTAATTTGTGATAATATTACTGTAAGTTTCTTGTAGAATTGCATACTGATTTGCAGGATTTGAGATTTCTGATTTCTTTAGATTTGGTTTGATTGAATTCCCCTTTTATATAACACCATGAAATTCACAAAAGAAATAATTTTAGATTTCTTATTCACTGAAAGTTACATTTAAATTATCCCATGTTCTTAATTGGTGCAGAAACTATTAATAAATTGTGTGTAATAGAGCTAACGTTCATTGATCGTTCAGGTTACTAAGCCACATAAAACTTCATTGTTCTCCTGATTCTAATTTTGAATTTGAAGAACTTTGGCTGTACTTTCTCTGCTAGGTGTTTTTAGAATGAAAAATGTTAAATTATTCTTCATTGCTACCATACTTGAACTATAAAGGATTAATTTTTTAAATATGGTAAGAATCTGAAGTGGGAGAGATTAAATGACTATGTTATGATTCATTCATTACTCATTCATTCATTCAGCTAGCATTTTAGAGTATCTGAACGACCCTCCCAGGGCAGGCGTCGGATGCCTATG